TATTTTATTTATTATTTTTATTTTATGTGTACGAGTGTATTGTCTGCATGTATGTGAGTGCACCTGTGTCATGCATGTAGAATGTTCACTTTGTGGCTCATTCTTAGAAAATGTTTCATCAGTGATTTTTTTTCTCACTAAAATTTACTTGTCTCTTAATAATACTGTAAGCAAAAGAGTGAAACTCAAGTTTACAGTAGTCCCCCAACACCAAAAGAATTGTCTATGTTTCTGTGTCATTTTTGTAGGTAATTACCTGGTACTTTTTCTTTCTACCCACTTCTTGACTTTGCTAGTTTCTATGATAACAGATTTTAATTTTTTAGAGGACTTTTATAGAGGTGTTTTGTTGTTGTCATTACTTGTGTTTCTACCGTGTCATTCCCTTTCTACTGCATTTTAATAAATTCATTCCTTTTACTAACATGTGATGACATCTGTCCCTAGGCACCTATAGGAAGGTTTAAAGTAGAAGCAAGCTGGGCATGGTGGTACACACCTTTAGTCCCAGTACTCGGAAGGCAGAGGCAGGTGGATCTCTGTGAATTTGAGGCCAGCCTGGTCTACATAGCAAGTTCCAGGCCAGCTTGGGCTACAGTGAGTCCCTGTCTCAAAAAAGACTGAAAAAAAAAAAAAGTAGAAGCAAATAAAAACTGGTATTTAAAATGTGAGAAATTCCAGTACTTCTACAGGGGCCATTATCATATTAATGTTGGTTTTTAGTTTCCCCCTCTTTCATGATTTTATGCATTTCAGTGTTGTAGTTTTCCTTTTCCCCAAAAGTTGCCCTTGGTTTATATTTATTTTTTATTTGATGTGTATGTGTGTATTGCCTGCATGTATGTGAGTGCACCCATATCGTGTAATGCCACAGAGGTCAGAAAAGGGCATCAGATTCCCCTGGAACTGGAGTTAAGAATGGTTTGTAGCTGCCATGTGGGTGCTGGGAATCGAACCTGGGTCCCCTTCAAGAGCAGTCAGTGTTCTTAACTGCTGAGCCATCTCTCCAGCCCCTGCCCTTGGTTTTTATATAAAAGAAATGATTTTGGCTTTAGACAGATACATTTTGTTTTTTGGTCTTTTTTTGATACAGGGTCTCCCTATAGCCCCAGCTGTCCTGGAACTCACTATGTAGACCAGGCTGGCCTTGAACTCACAGAGATCTGCCTGCCTCTGCCTCCCAAGTGCTGGGATTAAAGGCATGTGCCACCATGCCTGGCCTCAGATACATTTTTCTGTATATCTGACATTCTTTGTATGGACGTGTGTGCATGTGTGTGTGTGTGCGTGTGTGTGCATGTAAAATTTAGTAGTGGGCTGGCTACATGACTCAGTGGGTAAAGGTACCTGCCACATAAGCTTGACAACCTGTGTTCAATCCCTGGAACCTGTATAAAGGTAGAACCAACTCCACAGCTCTGTCCTCTGATCGTCACATGCATGCACAGCCATACACACATAATAATAATAATAATAAAATTTTGTAAAAAATCAGGCATACGAATATAGCCTTGCCTCTTTCTACTATGACTTTCCACTCCTACTTTATTCTCTCAGAGTTGTTTTCAGTGCTGTCTTGGTACTAATAATGAGATTCTTAGATGAGGATTGAAATAGTTTGCACTTCAAAAAAAAAAGCATCTCTGTCAGAAACTTCCAGAAGGCTGGAAGGTATGAATGGATGTTTACTGACCTTTGCCTCCAGTATCTCTTCCCTGTTCCCCACTCACAAGGCTTAACTCCAGATTCCTCTTCACATCCTTCTTCAGGGCGGATCCTGGATCTTAAAACTGGAACAGTGAAAAAGGAAGGTCAACAGTCTTCCATGAGGATGTGTATGGGCTCAAGAAGATCATTTATTTGCCGAATGAGGTGAGTGTGAAGCTTAGGATTGTGTTGGCGAGCTGAGACTTCCACTTTTGTCAAAGGCATTAACATTTTAATTTCAAGCTTCAGTTGTATTAATAATCCCTCCCTCCTTCCCTCCCTCTGTTTTTCCCTCCCTCCATCTCTGAGTAAGGCAGGTTTATTTTTATTATTTTATGTGTATGAGTGTATTGCTTGCATGTATGTGAGTGCACCCGTGTCGTGCAATGCTGAGGAGGTCAGAAGAGGGCTTTGGATTCCCCTGGAACTGGAGTTAAGGATGATTTGTAGCCACCATGTGGGTGCCGGGAATCAAACCCAGGTCCTTTGCTAGAGCAGTCAGTGCTCTTAACCGCTGAGCCATTTCTCCAGGCCCCAAGACTGGGGTTTTAATCTAGGGCCTCACCACACATGCTTGACAAATGCTGTAGCAATGAGCTATATTTCTAGCCACAATTGGATTAAATTTAACTCTGAAGACCCAGATCTATTATCACAGAATTATGTTTGGTATGATAAATAATAATATTTACTGAATCATTCCTATGCCAAAAACTGATAGTGCTTTGTATCTGTCTTATTTCATCCCCACAACTATAGAGTAAGATTCGTGGTTACTATTTTATTGGTTAAAAAGTGGATTCAGGGGCTGGGGAGGTAACTCAGCAAGTGTTGTTGTGCAAGCATGAGGACCTGAGTTCGATCCCTAGCACCTATGTAAAAAACCAGGTGTGGTGACTCTCCTTATAATCCTATTGTTGAAAGGCAGAGATAGTTGGATCCCTGAGGCCAGCTGGCCAGCCAGTGTAGCCTAATTGGGAAACCCCAGATCTCACTGAGAGACATTCTCCAGAATGAAGATGGGCAGCCCTTGAGGAAGTACACCTGAGGTTGACCTCTGGCCTCCATATGTTTGCACCCACATACACATGCACATGGATTCAAAAACATTAACTTCTAGAGCTGGACAGATGGCTCAGCATTTAAGAGCTTATATTGCTCTTACAGAGACAGTCCACTGCTTTTTCAGAGGTTCCAAATACCCACAGAAGGCAGCTCACAACCACTTGTAACACCAATTCCAGGGTGATCCAATGCTTCTGGCCTCCATGGGCACCTGCACTCATCTGCACAGACCCACACACAGACATAAACACATACACATTATTAAACAAAATACATCGAAAATCAAACAAACCATTAACTTTCCAAGATTATATAGTGTCAGATAGAGGCAAGGTACAGGATTTTGTTCTAGTCCATAGTAGTGTAATTCTAGAGCTACTTTTTTCCCTCAATTATATCACAAGGCAACATCTATGTTCCCAGATCTCAAACTTATGGTCTTTCTGCTTCAGCTTCTATTATAGTATGCACTGTCACACCTGGTTTAAGAAAAGGTATTTCTGGGAGTTGGAGAGATGACACAGCACTTAGGAGCACTGACTGCTCTTATAGAGGACCTGGGTTCAGTTCCCAACACCCACATGATAGCTAATAACTATCTGTGACTCAGTTCCAGGGGATCTGATGCCCTCCTCTGCCTTTGCAGGCATTGTACACATGGGTGTATTTCCATACATGCAGGCAAAATGCTCATAGACATAAAAATAAAGAAAAAAAGAAAACATTTCTGTTGCTATTATTTTGCTTTTTGGGTTTTTGAGATGGTATTTCATGTAGCTCAGTCTGGCCTGGAATTCCTTTCTCCTGCCTGCATCTCCCAAGTGCTGGGATTTTAGGCAGGTGTCACCATGTCTGACTAAGAAAAGACATTTATAAAAGTCAGGAAATAAGTTCAGGTTGTATAGTGGAGACAAGTTACATTGTACTGTGAGCATGCTTAGGAGAAATGGATTTAAAAAGATTTCCTGGGAAAGGCACAAAATTTATTATTATATATCTTAATGGTTTAGAGGAGCCTCTGGACTTAGACTTCTAGAGTTTGTTTGTGACATGGTCTGTATTTTTTTTTTTTAGTCTTTTTGAGGTAGGGTTTCACTATAGCCCCAGCTAGCCTGGAACTTGCTATATAGACCAGGTTGGCCTCTAACTCACAGAGATCTGTCTGCCTCTGCCTCCCAAGTGCTGGGACCAAAGGCATGCGCCACCACGCCTGGCTTGTGATATGGTCTCTTAATTTTAAACTCCTGGACTCAAGTGACCTCCCCCTTCAGTCTCCCAAGTAGCTTGGACTACAGGGGTATACCACTGTATCTTGCTGAATTTTGTTTTAATCCATAGTATTCTGTGGATTTGAAGTTTAGTTTTTGCAACATTTCCTAAAACCTTGGAAGACTGGATGCCTTTGCTTTGATTTTATCACGTAATATTGGAGGTGATATTATTGTCAAACTTCAAAGGTTGCTAGAAGGATTATGAAGGATTATATGTAAATATATTTAGAAAGGAGCATGGTACATATTTAACTCTGTAAAATTTTTTCAATTAAAAAATATTTTATTTTTATTTTTATTTTATGTGTATGAGTATATTGCCTGCATGTATGTGAGTGCACCTGTGTTGTGCAATGCCACAGGCTTCGGATTCCCCTGGAACTGGAGTTAAGGACAGTTCGTAGCCACCATGTGGGTGCTGGGAATTGAACCTGGGTCCTCTGCAAGAGCAGTCAGTGCTCTTAACCGCTGAGCCATCTCTCCAGCCCCAAGTTTTGTCAATTTTTTTGTTTTGTTTTTTTGAGGCAAAGTATCGTGTAGCTTAGGCTGGCCTCAAACTTACTGTGTACCTGAATATGGTCTTAGAATTCTGATCTGCCTGCCTCTACTTCCCAAGTGCTAGGATCACAAATGTGTGCCACCATACCTGCCTTATCTTTTTCTTTAAAAAAAGAAATGAAAAGCTAAGCATGATAGTACAGGCTTGTGATCCCAGTATTTGGAAGGCTGAGGCAGGAGGAGGCTACAAGGCCAAACTGGCCTGCGTAGGAAGTTTCAGGCCAGCCATTGCTGCATAGTGAGACCTTGTCTCAAAACAAGCCAGCCTTGGTGGTATATGCTTATAGTCCCAGACTTTGAAGGTTGAAGCAGGAGGATCATGAATTCTAGGCTAGCTTAAGCTACACAGTGAGAGCCTATCTTGGATGTGGTGGCACATGCTTTTAATCCCAGCACTTGGGAGGCAGAGGCAGATGGATCTCTTTGAGTTCAAGGCCAACCTGGTCTATATAGCTGGGGCTACAGGGAGACCTTGTCTCAAAAACACCAAAAAAAAAAAAAAAAAAAAAAAAAAAAAAAAAAAAAGCATAAAGCAAAACAGAAGAAGAAATGAGGGGGGAAAGTAGGATTAGGGGAGGGGTCCTAACATGTGAACATGGCTAAGGCAGGAACAAGGTAAATAATGATGACATGTAGCAGATAGAGCAAGTTGTACTTAATGTACAGCAGAAGTCAGAGAATGGTAGTTCTTTATGAATAAAATTTCACTGAACCTTATAGCACTGCCTGGCCTGTTTAATTACGTGTTGTCTGTGGTTGTTTGTGCTCTAATGCCAGAGCTGACTATTTGTAAGGATTTGTGTGGCCCATAACTGAAAATACTTACTCTTTGGTCCTTCTCAGAAAAAGTTTACCAACTTCTGATGTAGAGAGATTGCATTTGAAGAGTTTATGGAATATTCTTTACTTCAAATTTTAGGGTAGTCAAAAGTTATGGAGGAGCTGGGTGTGAGCCTGATGACCTGAGTTTGATTACTGGAACCTACATGTAGGAAGAAGAGAACTGACTTCTGCAAGTTATCTTCTGCCTTCCACTGCACACTGTGTACACATAATTTTTTTTTAAAATAAAAGAAAAAACTGGACCAGGGATGTGGCCTTGTTGGAAGTGTGCTTGCTTAACATGCATGAAGCTGTGTGTTCAGTACAGTACCATATAAAACTAGATATTAAGAATGTCAGCACTAAGACAGGATGTTCTTCAAAAATTCAAGATCATCCTTGGATACATAGCTAGTTTAAGGCAAGCATAGGTTGTAGGAGATCCAATCTAAAACAAAAACAACAAAAAGTTCCCCCAAGCCCCAGACAACAAACAAAACAGTAGAAAGTTTCAAAACTATTCAGCCTGGCATACCTTTTTCCTTTCTTGTTGTTACTGTTACCAGGTTTTCACAGGTAGTTGCATCCAGTTATCCTGCTATTGTTACTGAAAGTTTGCTCATCACCAGCCTGACCCTTTTATTCTCTCTGATGGTTAAAACAGGTGTGGCAATAGCTCTGTGGACCCAGTTTCCATGAATAGACTGAGCTTTTTGAGGAATAGATGCAGGTAAGATCCTAAGCAAGGAAGATCAATGGATAGCAGTATCATTTTTTCTTCCTCTCCTCCTTTTTTTATTTTGACAGGGTTTCCCTAGTCCCAACCCTCCTGGAAGTCACTGTGTAGATCAGGCTAGCCTCAATCCCACAGAGATCTGCTTGCCTCTGCCTCCCAAGGGCTGGGATTCAAGGTGCATGCTACCATGCCCAGCCATTTTTTTCCTTCTTTACCAGTCCTCACCCACATCTTTCATTTCACAGTGACTTTTTTTCTGAATTTTAAAAACTTCTCTTGTTCATTATGTTTAAGGTAGTTGCTACTACTCTATGCATTTTACTTTTCATAGCATGCTTTTGTTGTTTACTTTGACAAGGGTTGAAAACATGGTGTACACTATTGGGTGGGAAAGGGTAAGCACTGATTCAGATTGGAGAGTTTTCTAAACATCCAAGAGGCTAACATTAAAAGAATTGTTGATCTTTAAGATTTATTTTGCAGGGGTGGTGATATGGCTTAGTGGGTAAAGGCGCTTGCTGTCAGACCTGATGACCTGAGCCCACATGGTGGATATATTTATTTATTTTTGTCTTTTTGAAGCAGGGTCTCCCTGTAGCCCCAGCTGTCCTGGAACTCACTATGTAGACCAGGCTGGCCTTGAACTCATAGAGATCTGCCTGCCTCTGCCTCCCAAGTGCTGGGACTACAGGCGTGCGCCACTATGCCTGGCTTTTATTTATTATTTTAATGTTATGTGTACGAGTGTTTTGCCCACATGTGTGTAAGTGCACCCGTGTCATGCAGTGCCTGTGGAGGTCAGAAGAGGGCCTTGGATCCCCTGAAACTGGAGTTATGGATGGTTATTGGCTGCCATGTAGGTGCTGGGAATCAAACCTGGGTCCTCTGCAAGAACAGCCAGTGCTCTTAACCACTGAGCCATCTCTCCAGCCCTGACAAATGTAAAATTTTAAAAGAATCAACATTTACTCTGGGACCAGTGAAATGGCTTATTGGTTTAAGGCAGTTGCTATGATCTGAGTACAATCCCCAGAACCCTTATAAAAGTAGGAGAGAACTGATTTCAAGTTGTCCTTACCTCTGACCTCCAACTTCCACATGTGCATGGTGGCACATGCACCCACACATATACTTCAGACAGACACACGAATAGATGGATGAATGGATGAATGAATGCTTTTTTTTAAAGAAAGGTGTACACTGTAGAATTTTCTTTCTGATTCATGTAACTCTTCTAGGAATGGACTTGGCTCTGTGAAAGAAGGAGGACCTCACTTTGTGGTAGTCCACTGCACAGGCTACATCAAGGCCTGGCCTCCAGCAGGTAGGGAAGTTGGATAGTGATTTCTCTCCCAGTACACTTGGTTACTCAGAATCCAAGAAGGTTGTCAATATTTAATTAACAGTCAGACCACTTATTATGCACTTGTTATATGAAATGCTCAGTGAAATAACCTAAAAGAACGTTAAACAGATAAAGCAGACTCCCTTCCATCCATTACTGAGTTTATGTTCCTTTTAAGGAGATGGATTACCAAAACTTGAAAATGACTCAGTATTGCTGTGTTACAGCAATCAGTATTTTTTTTTTAATGAAGACTTTTTTTTTGTGTGTCTTTATTGAGACAGGGTCTCCCTGAAGTCCCAGCTGTCCTGAAACTCAAGCGATCCACCTGCCCCTGCCTCCTGAGTGCTGGGATTAAAGGCATGCGCCACCATGCCGGGTATATAGTTATTTTTTGAGAGGTAGGGTTCTAGTCTGAGAATGTTTACCAAAGGAATCTGAAAGAGCCTGTGCCTGCCTGAGAGAAGGTGTTCAAAAGAAGAAGGGCAGTATTCTAAAGCCCACGGGGAGACCATTCCCCTTGGGGACAGCAGCTGGGGCTACAGGAAGCCCTCATCTCAAAAACAAACAAAAAATCCCAAACAAAAAAAGATATATAAAGCTTAAAATACATATAGTATAAACAGCTTATTGTATAAACTATGTAGCTTTTTTTCTATATTGTGAAATCTGAATCAGAGTATCTAACTTTTCTTATAATAGTTTGCTCTTCAGGTAATCTTAGCCTTTAAGATTTGGTATACATGGATCATAAATCATATGGCACAGTCACCTTTCAAAGGTTAGAAGGAATGTCAAATATGGTGGCACACGCCTTTAATCCCAGCACTTGGGTGGTGGAGGCAGGTGGATCTCTGTGAGTTTGAGGCCAGCCTGGTCTACAATAGTGAGTTACAGGCCAGCTGAGGCCAAAACAAACAAAACAAACCCACGAAATGTATGATTAATTAATTGATATTTATTTTATAGATTTATAATATGCAAAATATATTTAATAAGTTTATATTTATTTATTGCTTTTTGAAGCAGTCTGGCCTGGAACTCCAAGGCTCACGCAGTTTTCTTGCCTCAGCCTCTCCTGGAATTATTTAGCAGGTGCTGCCATGCATGGTTTAGAATTTAGTTTTTAGGACTAGGGATATAGCTCAGTGGTAGAGTACTTGCCTAGCATATGGAAGGCCCATGGTTTAATCCCCAGCGCCATCAAAAAACAGAACAAGGGGCTGGAGAGATGGCTCAGTGGTTAAGAACACTGGTTGTTCTTGCAGAAGACCTGGGTTCGAATCCCAGCACCCACATGGCAGCTAACAACTGTCCGTAACTCCAGTCCCAGGGGATCCGACAGCCTCTTCTGACCTCCATGGGCTTCGCACGACACAGGTGCACTTACCTACATGCAGGCAATACACGTATACACATAAAATAAAAATAATAAAATTTAAAAAAACAAGAACAAAACAAATAAGTAAAAATACATATAGTTTTGAATAATTAAAATTTGTAATAATAATATACACTGAATATTGTGTTTCTAAGCAGTTGTGACAAAGAAACATTGGAATTTAATACATTTAATTTGGGAAAACTGCGTAGAATAGGAATAAGATTTCAAGGAATAAATTT